TGATACAGACTCACACTAAAGATGCTAAACTCCAGGATAACTTGGTTTCTGTGGCTCTCTGGAATCCCTGCATTCATGGCAGAATGCTTGCTAGAAACTATTCATTTGAAAGCCTTATTTACTGAAATGTTTTCATACACCATGTGTTTTTCATGGATATCTTGATAATGAATATATGACTTACATTAGTTAGCGGTCTTAATTAGGCCAGATTTTAGAATGTTAGATTAACGATGCACAGCATTTATTGACTAGTAAATGCCGATATATACATATAGTATATACAAAACCTGTACTATAGTAGTCAGAAATTAAAAAGGAGAATAAAAGGTTGGTATTATCCAAGTTTACAGTCTCAGAGTTTTGTTTAAAATATTAATAGCTACCATATGTTGAGCATTTACTATGTGCTGGGTGCTTTTCATACCATAATCCTCTAAAAAACCTGACAAAATAGATAGTTTAACTCCATTTTACAAAAGAGGACACTGAGACAAAGAATTACACAAATGACTGAGCTGGCATTTGAAGCCAGGTCTCTCTGCCACTAAAAATGGACCATGGTGTCTCATCTGATATACAATGACCACTACCCCTATTCAACCAATGGACTTCTACTAAGATCACTGGCCACANGTTAAAAGACATGGAGTAAATCTTGTCCCCTGCTTTTCAAAACCCCAAGGTAACAGTTTAATGTGGTATCAGCTTGGGACCTGTAAAACTAGAAAGTATATGACCTTCTTTCCTGAGAGAAGATTTTGGAGGCTTCATAAAAAAGGAAAAAACAGCTTCAAATATCCCCCAATTCTGATCCACACATTTGTAGCAAAAGATCCTCTAAATGACAAGTCTAATCTGAAATGCTTAATGTGTTCTTCAACTCCATTGCAGATAAACTAAGACTTACCACAGAGCCAGATACTTAACAGGACCAAGAAAGCAGGGTCATCTCTGGCCCACTGGTCCTTTGTCTGTTTTCGGTAATGAAAGTTTCTATAAACCCGCTGTGGGGAAGTGAACAGGTAGAACATCTGCCAGGCAGCAAACTCAAAGTCCATCTGCCGAAAACGAAAAAGCCTTCTCAGGTATTTGTAGCGTTTTGCACCAGCCGTATGTCTTGCTGCATCCCTGGAATTCAAGGCTCCATTTCCCAGCATTGAGGAATTCATTGAAGTACTTGGCAACATCTTCCTAGGTGGAAAAAAAAAATTCTTTTACACATAAACCTGAAGAAACTTTTGGGTACCAGCACCCCTCTTCCGAGTTATTTAGCAGGGAGGTCACTTTACATTTTCTCCCAACTCTTGAGAAAAGTCAGGGGTGAAAAGCGAATGCAGCTGGCTTGTCGTCGGGCTGGAGAACTGCTGACTGCACTGCAGGCGAGGGCGACACCTTGCCCTTCTCAACCGTCCGAATTAACACTTTCCAGGGGCCCTGCGTTTCCCACACGTGACCTCATACAATCCTCAGCCCTCCTCCCAGGAAGCTACCGTTGGCAGAGGGAGGGGAAACAGAGGCACAGGAGAAATGACCTCCTCAAGAGCAGACAACTTAAGCAGAATTGGCTAAATTCATAATATTTTTTTGCAAAATCAGGGATTTTGTTAGTATGATATAATATAATCATTATTTCAATTATTTGCTGCTCTTTGACAATACAGACCATCCCTTAGAGTATTTTCTGATATAGGTACCAACACAGGAGGGTTAAGTTATAATAATCTTAGCAGTCAAAATTGATCATTTCAGTTAATCTATTTTGGTTTACATTTCCACTGAACCTCTGAAGCAAATAAATGGAGGCTCCACAGCAGTATCTGAAAAACCAAAGTTATGGTACTTACCACATTAAAGTTGCTATTAGAAGACCAACACCTACACAATCTATGAATACAACCCAAAGGAGAAGCTTAATCGTCTCAAAAAATCCCATGTCCAAGACAAAGCCAAATCCTATAGTGGACACTGAAAGAAAGATTGACAAGATTCATTCAGACACTCTGCTAGGTTCTCAGGATACAACACACATTCCCTGCCCTCCAGAGGCCCAGAGTCTAGTGGCAGAGACAGACAAGTAAAAAGAACTCCCAAGGTGTGTTATATGGAACTGACGTAGAAACGCATACCTCCTTAGAACACAGCATGGCCACCAAGATATCTGAAGTTTATTGAGGAGAGCCCTTGCCAGGCTAGTTCACCACAGTACCCCAGCATTTAGAAAACAAGACCAGTGCAGAGAAGGCTCTCAACTGAAGTCCAGCTAAAGGTGAAAAACACCCTACTCATTTCAACCTTACACCTTCAACACCCTAAATGTGACTGGGACCCTTTCATTACTCACTGGAGAACTTCAAAGTGGTGTCTCAAGTTCATATCAGTACTCTCAGAAATCTCACTCTAGATTTGCCTGATTGTGAAATGCAATTTCCAGTCTCGATACTCCCAGCGTCAGCTCACTGAACGTGGGCAGAGCCCTGAGCTGTCGGAGCCTCGGTTCTCTCCGTGTTGGATGGGAGATAACGATACCCGCCCCGTCGGCCTGTTGTTAATATTAAGCCATTTCGTTTTAAGAAGCGTTTGCTGAATGCTGGCACTCCGCTAGGCTCGGGAAACTAAAAGAAGAAGACGGGTTTCTTGCGCGCCAGGAAATGAAAATCTGTCGAATGAATTGTTATTTATCGTTCCATAAGCCTGGGACTGTTTGGGCTAGTAGTTTATCCTGTCTCTCTTCGCTTGTGACAGTGTATGCTAAATTTGCCTGGTGTTGGTTTGAATTTGTTTGAGTTGCAGTTCTCTGTATTCCGGGGTGGTAAGTGGTAAATGAGGTGGCTGTGTTTTCATCGTTTTGCCCTCTTCCCCTCCGCTCTTCCCTCACTCCAGCCACGGGTCTGCTCGGCACCCGGTCTGAAGGCGGTGAGGCATGCAGTGAGGTTCAGAGTTGACCCGGGATCTGGGTTCTGGTGTAGGGTCCAAGTAAAGCACAAATGCCTTTCCAATTACAGAAGGCTGATAGGAGGGCAGTCAATTGTGTGCAATTATTTTTGCATTTGAGGCTGTAGTTTCAGAAAGTTGCTCCCATTGACAACTACCCCGAAATGCACATCCGCCATCATCAGTCTGTATCAGTGTTTCTGCTGAGTAACGATTGTTTGATTCACTGATTTTAGCAGTCAGCCAGACTCACTTCCCAGTGTCTAGTAAAACGTCAGAGTTGTTACAAGTTTAAGAGGTTATCTAGTCCAACTGTATACGAATAAGGAAACTGAGGTGCCCTAATTTTCAGGCTCTCCTATCCAGGGCTGTTTCCAGTCTGCTTCATTCACTGGTGCAGATATTTAGCCCCTCCTAGTAAATGCCTCTTAAGTGGCAGGCATGGTGCCAGGCACTGGTGATACAAAGATGAATCAGTAACAGTCACTACCTGTGTAAGCTTGGTCTTATGGGAGAAATAGACATGTAAAGGTCTAAATTCCTGCCATAAGGGCTGTGTGAGCATTTAGCAAATACTTGTTTAATCAGTAAATCTAAGGAAAAAATGCTTTAGCCCAGTGAAGAGCAACTGATTTTGCTTCAGAATTTGAAAACTTCAGAGAGGAGGTGACATTTGAGATAAGTCTTCAAGGTTGAGTAGTAGTTTATCAAGTAAAGGAGTGAGGGCTCTGGTGGTTGGGGGAAAATCTGAAAGAACAGCAGGTGCAGAGGCAGGGAGATGTAGGAGGGCCCAGAGACGCCAGTGCCCTACTGGGCCTGGAGTATGGGGAGTGCGACAGATGACTGAGAGGAAAGTTGCAGCAGGGTGTGAAGGCCCGCATGTGTCAGAGTGAGATGCTTGGATTTTATCCTGACATTAGGCATCAGGAAGGCCATGGAGATGAGAATTGAGGAAAGAAAGTATACAGAGCAGGACTGAGGAAAGAAACTCTGTGTAAGTGGAGGACAATAATGGTGGCAAGGAGAAACAACAAGTTGTTTTTTTGCAACAATTGTTTTAGCAAACATTTGCTGAGTACCAAGCTCTAATACAGGACAAATACTGATGAATGGGACATATTCTCCCTTGTGTAGAAGGTGGATCTCTGGGAAGCTAGAAAACTGTAGGCAGAGAGTATGATCAACACACCTGGTACAGACTTTGCTTTACCCCCACTGAGTATGTGGTCTTATTGGTGCTGAATTTGGTCAGCTAGAAGAAGGTGATGTTTATAAACAGTCTCTTCAATGTAAGTGCATTTACAGTTTGTGTTAACTTCACTCTAAATGACTTCAACTGGAGTGTAAAAGAGCGGTAATGAGTTAAAACAGTGAGTTTTGCACATCCAGAAGAGGTCCTACCTTCCTGAATGGCATCACTGGCAGCTACCGCCCACCACTCCCCACTGGGGACTCTGAAGACCAGGGGAAGCTCTGTTGAGGTCTGTGCCTGCTCTGCATGGCCAACTTATTTTTGATGGAAACTTTTGATTCCTTAGATTCTTGAATAAAGAAGTTAATCTGATCTTATGGCAGATGGGTGCTATAGTCTCCTCTTGCCTATCTTTAACCCACCTGAAACCTTCAGAACCTCACTCTGGGAAGGAATTCAACATAAACAAAGTTCTAGGTGCTGCCGTGGGAAATAGTCAAGGACCTATAGCGGCTCAGGGGAACTCAGGGTAATGGTGTAAATTCTGGTGGGGCTGAAGAGAAGCAAGGAAAAAGCAGATTCAAAAGGCATCTCTTGGATAGACTTCTTAGGGTTTTATGACTCCTGGAGATCAAAAGGGTTGCAGCTATGTGAGAGGAACCTCACTCAACACAGGGTATCTACTTTGTGTCTCCATTAACAGCTTCCAGACCTGTTGACTCTACATCAGTGTCACCTGGAGGTAGGGGTGGGAGAGCTTAAAAGTACAGATTCCACTGCTGTCCCCTCCCTCGCCCTCCTCTCCTTCCCCCTTCCCCCAGCCCATCCCCCCTCCCCGCCATAAGTTAAAAGTTTCCCAGTTGGTTCTTCGGCACAGCCATGTTTCAGAGGTCTGATTGATCTTGACATCAGAAGGCAAAAAAGCTTGGGAATGTATTAGTTAGGCTCAAGTACAGTGATTCAAATGGTGGCTTAAACAAGACAGTTCTCACTTTTGCTCTTGTGCCTATAAGTAGGGCCTGGGTGGCTTCCGTCAGTCTTCCATGGACCTAGAAACTGTTGTTGTTGTGGCTCTAGTGCTGTGATGGGAGCTAGGATGTTGCTCTCATACTCATTGTCCAAGGTTTTCTTGCTTTCCCATCATCAGGCCTAGAAATGTTACGGAGTGAAGTGGGGAAAGGAAGCAACCCTCTTTCCTTTAAGAACCAACCCAGAAGTTTTACATCTCAGTTCCCTACACAGTCCATTGGCTAGAACTTAGTCACATGATGTAAGGAAACTATAGGAAAATGGTCAAGGCCCCTCAGAGATTCAGAATCTTGCTGAGCATTTGATGTAAATATGCACATGCGCCCAGCTGTTCCTTGGTTATTGTCTAATGTAATTGCGCATGTGCACCTGGGTGTCCTGGGTTATGGACTTAAGTATAAAGGATGAGTGGCTCTGATCCACGGAGCCCCCCGCCTCCCAGGGAGGCCGCCACTGCTGCTGGAGGCTGTTGCTGCTACTGCTGATGACTGAGCTTGTGTTGTCTGCCAGTGGCTCCCAGGATCTTTCCCAATTACCTAGCATGGACCTGTGTGAGGAGTCTATGACCCAGTCTGTACAAAGGGTTTGAAGGCTCTGAGCCCTGGCCCTGACAATACAAATGGAAACTTAGTATAACTAAAATAATGAAACTTTGTGGCTTTAGTTATGAATTGCTTTAACAATACACTGGCCCTAACCCGACAATTGGCATAGTCATATAATTTTACACATGACCATACCCAACTGTAAGGGTGGCTAGGAGATCTAGCCCAGCTATAAGCACAATAAAAAGGAACAGTGGATGTTAAGGGACAGCCAGCATTCTGAGTGGAGGGGGATGATGAATGGATCTTTCCACCAGACAGTTGGCAATATAAGTTGAAAGCTTGTGAAAAAGGTAGCATCTTAGATACAGTTTGGCGAGGCAGCAGCTTATAAATTGTAGTTGTAGTCTTGTCTACCTCCTCATCGTTCATGTGGGCAATACACCCCATCAGCAGCTTTGCAGAATTTGGGGAGGAACATAATAGTGCAAGGAAGCTTGCTACTCTGTTCCCCTTTTGAGAATCAATGATGTAGGTGATAATTGAAATCTAGAACCCAAGCAGATGTAGAGACTAAAAAATGGTCAGAACAGGAACACCACAGAGGTAGGACCCTCTAGGTTTTTTCATAGTAAAAACTAGGCAAGTGTGACAGGCACTCACAAAATGAAGGTTTGGGGGAGTGGTTGCTATGGTGGGGTTGGAGAGTCAAAATCTGCTTGAAAGGAAATCCCAGATTATGCAGAGCAGGTGAAATCTGGATTTCATTTTTCACCAGCTGAATTCATCAGATGTTTCTATTTAAGTAGATGACCCAGGAGGCCAAATAAAGAACTTGGGCATGTTTGCCAGCTAATCAGATCCAGGGAGGGTGTAAAGTTAGATTATATTTGGCAATGCTGTTTCCTTTCTCAAGTGACACAGTTCTCTGCCATATTTTCCTGTTATTTATGCAGAGAGAGAAGGTTCTTGCCTTCCCTCACATAGTTTTGTTACCCATGTAAAGTGTGAGCTTTTAGATTTGTCAAGAATTTTAAAGCATGTTTAGATAATTGAGAAGTCATGGATAATAGCTAATGGCGATAATGATGAGCTATACTATGTAATCATATGACTGAACTTACAGAACACTCCATGAAATTCCATGCCTAGCTCTGTCTGTGAGTTCTAAAAAATTAAAAAATCAGAATTCATTTTTTGTTTTTTAATTTTCATTGTTTACCTTCTGCAGAAACTTGTACTAATCTTGGATAAAAAGTAAAAGTGCTTCTGACCATTTCTAAACACCAATACAAGGCAGAGCTTCATTTATACTGTGACACTGGAAAGAGCAGTCCAGGGGATGTTTGAGCAGATGAACAGTCTTTCTCCAAACTGAGTGGAGTCATGTCACACTTGACTAATGCAACTTCAGTTATCCAGGGACATAATTTAAATTGTGTGGGTAATTTTGCTTATTATTTCAGACAGAGAGTGTATGTCCCATTACAGGTGAGATGGAAAGTTTGGATCTGCTGTGCCCTCACAGCTCACCATCCTGTGTTTGATTCCCGTGTTTAAGGGTTTTTTTAAAAAAAGATGAACGGTAAGGGGATCTTAACCCTTGACTTGGTGTTGTCAGCACCACACTCTCTCAATAG